CTTCATATGAGAAGCAGTGATGTGGAGAAAACTTTTTGATATCATGCATGTAAGTATCCATCATTCTGAATTTTTCCATCACAAGCAGCTTTCTTTTCAGTTGTTCTTAGTGACTCAAGTTAATATTTTTAATAGATTGTTTACCCCTTAGAGACCAGGCTAGGATTGTTCTTTACTCTTTCAAATCATTTCTTCTATATGAGGTTATCTATATTGCTGTTGTTCATTTTATTTTTTCTTATATTCATGCTATAGAACTTCAAGATTGGTGAAAATTACATGTTGAATTACAGTAATATTTTGCAAAATTTTTGTGGAAAAAGATTCACCATTATGTCAAACTTCCTGAGATTTTGTGCCATGGTTATAGTATCCATATATAATTATTTATACATTTGTCCACTTTTAGAACTGCACACTTACACTTTCCCAGAACCTCTTGTGATGGACAAACATTATAAGCAACCTAACAAAGATAATCTTCGGACTTCCACAAAACGTCTTGTGGTGGAGAGACGTTAAAAGTAACCAAACAAAAGGTAGCGTAGATGCTTCCTTGGACTAGCTTGCTAAATCAATCTGTTTATTGGATCTCTTATTCTCTTGCAAAGAATTAGCTGGTTGGAATCGGGATCGACGGTGACCGATTCCTTTAAAAGAATCAGGGTTTATACCATGAGCTGAAAACCATAAAAAAACCTTAGATAAAAACATTGGTAAACTGAAATTACAAAACTGATTATTTTGTATGTGATCCACCAGATGTATTATGTTTCTCACATAAGTGTTTAACTGTTTATTCATTGGATGTAATTCATCATAACTATTTATTTTTCTGTCAAAAGTTATTAGTCCTTTTAAAAGTTAAAACATATCGCCCAATAGATTAAAAATTTCCAAAAACCGATCTTCTAACTCTGTAGATAGGCCATAAAAGTATGTCATATTATCAGTATGACAACAGACCAAACGATAAAAATGAACTTGAAGTTGAATATAGTACTTTAGCCTGCCACGCAACTCTTTTAATAGGTCACCTCTTAGCATTCCACCTTGTAGTGATGTTAATTGGGTATCCTCTAGGTTGTAATTACCATTGATGGGTGTGGAAAGTTATTGGCACACCTTTGTCTGATTGAAAAAGAAGAAACTAGTATCTCAATTCTCAAACACACTCTTGTAGATACCTTGTACAAATATAATATACTTTGAGCCCCACATCCTAGTTTATGATCCATTACGTGGACTTTTGAAGATTATGGTAGGCAGTCCTAGTTACGATCCAGTAACACATACGTGATTTGCCACTAGCAATGAATACATTCACCCTTTACCAAGAGACCATGTTGGCAAATAGAATGTTATTCTTCTCATACAACAAATGGCCATGGTTGAACCTCTAGTGGTTACATCCAGATCAACTACCTTGATATTTAATATTGGGTATGGAAAGCCAAATTATTGGCACATTTTCATAGGCTGTAATTTAGACAAATTTCTGAACAGCCTTACGGATATGCACATAATAATAGAATCTGTTTTATCCCCCAGATGTAGTTTCTTATCAATTTGTGTGGGAACAAAGTTGGTGCACTTTCGACCAAGTTATGCAGTCTATTTGATACAAGCACACACTTCTAGCTCTCAGAGTGTTGACTACCTCTTCTTAACTTGTAGGAATATTATCAATTTGTGTGGGAACAAAGTTGGTGCACTTTCGACCAAGTTATGCAGTCTATTTGATACAAGCACACACTTCTAGCTCTCTGAGTGTTGACTACCTCTTTTTAACTTGTAGGAATAAAAAGGATGTCACTAGCAAGTAGCAACATCTTGTCCTTGTTGATTCTTCACATACCACCTATTTGCTTGAGGTCCAGTAGCAAACTTTCATGTGTCTAGGGGAGAAAGGACACACCACCTCTTTAAAGGCAGATTAATGTATTTCAAAATGAATAATATTTGATTGGAGGGACCATGAATATCTCCTTGTCAGATATTGCTTAGTTTTATTGTCGTATACTTTCACTTTTGTCCAAAAATATAATATTTTATCTAAATGAGACCTCTGTGTTGCTCTTGTTCAGCTCCAGGAATTTCATGACAGAGTAAAAGGATTGGAGTAATTTCAGGTTAGGACACAGAGTACATAACTAATCTAACATTTATGTCGTCAAAGAAGGGACGATCTCTCGTCAAATTTTGGCTGTTTCAGCTTCGGATATGATGGTATTACTGTATTGTGGTATTGTAAAGGTCAGTGCGATATCTGATATCTGATTTATGTTGTTGGTATTACTATCTTACTTATATGATGATCTTACATTTTGAGGGGAGGGAAGAGGGTTGTGTCATATTATCTACTACATTCTCTAGTTGGCATGTCGGAATTTCATTCGTAGCCTGCTTTTGTATTTTGTGTTTTGTTTTCCAATTGTGTTGGTATTTTTAGCTAAATTAATTGCATAACCAAGAAAACTTAATGAATTAATCTTTTCTTTGTATCTCACATATAACTTCATAGATATTGTTTGAGGCTCGTGTGCCCAGCATTGCTTACTTTATGCTGATAGCAATGATCTGTTGAATCTTACAATGCTCAAGTTGGAGTTCGGAAGATGGTTATGGACTTATGGTTATTTGATCAGGTTAGGTTGATCACTAAAATCTTCAAAGTTTCTTTAGAATGTTCAGAATTTTGTTTATAACCGTCTCTGTGAAAGAATTGTCAGCTCTGCATATGCTGTAAGTGTCGAGTGTCTTAATTTTATTGATCAGCTTCCTTTCACTAGCTGTGAGCTTTGGTTTTCTTATTTAACACTTTATTTATTGAAGATGTGTTAGCAACTCCAGCCAGTCCTATGTGAAAGGACATCCTCTCTCTAAAGCTGGCTGAACTATAACAAAATTCAGAATCCTTCCTGAAGAAATGTGTTGTTTTAATGACTCCCACCCTGCCCACCAACACCCCATCATCTCTAAAGCTGGCTCATAGC